AGAATTCTTGCATTTGTTTTTCTGCTAAATACATCAACAGTAATATTTGAGCATTTGCAAAACTCTACATAGAATTTTTGATGGAACATAAGAGAAAGAAAAATGAAAACAGACAGTAAAGTCCCAAACAGGACAAGAAAAGTTCATAGAATCTATGTTCATGTCTCAGTATCCATTCAGATACTGTCAACACAAAACAACTTCAAAACAACAAGCCTAAAGGTAGGGTAGCCAATTTCCAAAGGGGATAAGGGTTAAAAAGAAAGGAAGGAAATAGCACATAACTTTTTTTTTTTTTTTGCTTTGTTTGAACACAGCAGGAAATTCATGACTCTTGACAGCACCTTTGAAGTCAGTATAGATGTTTTAAACATAGCATGAGAAGAAGCAAACAACCACATTTCACTGCAACACATCTCTTTTCTTTCTGGGTCGTGTTTGAAAGAGATGAGTGAGGTGGGGCACATGGATGAGGTATTGGTTGAACAGGAACAAGGCACCAGAAAGCAGTGTCTACTGAGAGCCCTACACAACTCGACGTTACTCTATGATCCTGAAGGCAATGTACTGTTGTATTCTATTTCAGTGTTTTGGTTAACCCTTAAAATAAGAGGTCCAAGAAACAGACACAGGTCTCTGTACAGAATCCAAGGTCAAGGTCATATAACTGATGCATTAGCCATGCACTAGGTGCGTCAGCTGCACCTAGAAGTACAACCGGTGAACTGAACTTCTGTCAACAAAGCTGATACACTTGTGTGACACCACTAGGGATCACATCGCATAAATCCTATGTAATGCAGTGCCCCGTGACTGTATTTGGCCACGACAGCTTTGAATATATCTGAACTGCACTGAAAGAAGCTATATATAAAAGTATTTTTCTTCTCTCTTCAAAGTAAAAAATGAGACTCTGAATTCCTTAAAAATAATTGTTTTGAAGTTTTGCACAGCTATATATATGAGGGATGTAAACTAGACATGTATAAAGTATCTTTAATTTCAGTTATAGGGATTTGATGTCTAAAGCTCATTCCGTACACTATGAAATGACAGGCAGCTCAAGTTCACCATAGTGTGTTTCCAGACAGGCTCCAGGATGCTGCCCATGTAAAAGGAATTTAGTGTCCACTCTGAAGTGCCCTACTGCAATGAGCTGTGCAAAACTTTCACCAGAAACATGAAACTCACATGCTATTCTGAACAGCACAGAGAGTTGGGAATCCCCAGTGCCTCCAACTGTTGTGTTTGTCTAAAATAGGAGAAATGATCCCTTGTTCCAACACATCCTGGACAACAGAGACAAACCTCAACAAAACTGGCACATCTCAGTGCCAGTGAGCAAGTGATGCACCTCGGAGCACAGAAGATCCACATTCACTATGTCCCTGTGGAGGTGGAAGGAAAGAGCTGTTGTCAAATTCCAAATAGATTTTGGGATTTGACAGGGTAGATTAGGGAAAAAAATGTTCCAGTGCTTCCTTTCTGAAGGAGAAGAGAAAAAGTTTCTACTCCATGGGAGCTGTAACTATATATCACATCTCCTATGGAAGTTTTCCATGGGAAATGTTTTCCCACATTTTGTCAGGTTGTAGAGAACAGTCCATTTGAAAAGTAGAGCCAGTGGGTTCTGGAAGCTGAATTTAGTCTGGCAGAGTTTTCTTGCAATATGACAGCATTTCTGCTTCAAAGCAGGACTTGCAAAGTACCTGCATAAATAGGACAGTGGTTCTGCTGACAGTGGAGTGACTCAATGTGAATGAACAATTTGCACATCGAAAGGCAACGCACCAACACACCCATACAAACCTCCAAGAGTCTCAGTGTTGGTTATTCAAAAATTGGTGACAAGCAAAGCACCTGCTCCACAGATCAGCAGTGACTATCGTAGATATTGCAACACGAGAGCAACGAGAGCAACAGCTCATCTTTACCAGAATTAGACACAGGATCCTCACAAGCATTTCTGCAGCAGCCGTACAGGGACAAAAGACTATGCCAGTAGAACATACAGAGGCAGGCCTTTGAGCAGATGATTTAACTGCAGAGCATTCATGCTTCACCCTTAGCAGCCACGACTTAAGACTCCTAGATACTTCCTATCTCTTCCAAAAGATTGTGTGTCTGACAGCTGTATGCAGACTTCTGAGCTGCTCTCCGAACGTAGAGACAGAGGAGAAAAATTAAAAAGGAAAAATTCAAGTGGCTACTTTTATTTGTGGTTCTTTGATTTAAATGGTTTTAAGTAATATTTCCTTTTATTTTACCTCTCATATCTTAAATGACAGATTTTTTTTTTTTTTATACTCATGTCAATTTGGAGTTTCAGTTAAAAAAAAAAAAATCTATCCAAAGTGCACAGCTTTAGGCAAGTGAATCCAGGCCAAAAAACAGTGAGTACATGTCCTTGCTGGTTCCTACAGCTTCCAGTGCTTTATAATTAGGAACATCTCAAACAATCTGACTCAACAGTTAAAACAAGTAATTCTGCTGCTGTTTTTCTTCCTTTACATCTAATGTAGAGATAATTATGTCTTTTCCAATTCTCAAAGGTTTTTAAAATTATTTCATTTGCTCTGCAAAATGCTGGAATTGCTTTTGAAGATGAGGCATTAAGTGTAATCCACAGTCATTTCTCTCTTTGTTCACTTTTTGGTGTTTCTCACAGCCCTTTGTCCTCAGCAACAGCTCCTGACAGTTTTATTGGCGAGGATGGCAAAGGGAAAGTTGTGTCAAATACTGTAGCTGCATTGGTGGCTGTCTGTACGAATGCTTTGTGACAGTAAGGCTATATACAACAAAATTCCTTATGTTTTTATACTGCAGGCATTTAAGCACCCTCCTGGAACAAAAATTCATACAG